CATCTTATCCAAAGTTTTTTTTAAAATTTTAAAGACTATTAAAGAAATATTACTTTCTTTTCTCAGATACCAAAAAATGCACCAAGTGTCCAGATGATCAATATCCAACTGAGAACCGAGTCCAGTGTATCCCCAAAAGAATAACCTTCCTGTCCTATGAAGAACATCTCAGCATCATCCTCATCTCCTTTGCTCTACTCTTGTTCCTGATCACAGGCTTTGTTTTATTCATATTTATTAAATACCTTGAAACTCCTATTGTCAAAGCCAACAACCGGGACCTCTCCTACATCCTCCTGGTCTCCCTTCTGCTTTGCTTCTTATCCTCCTTGTTCTTCATTGGCCGACCAAGGAAAGTCACCTGCCTTCTCCGACAAACAGTGTTCAGCATTGTCTTCTCAGTAGCCGTGTCGTCTGTGTTGGCTAAAACAATCACAGTAGTGCTGGCATTCCTAGCTTCAAAACCAGGCAATAAAGTGACAAGATGGTTGGGGAAGAGCTTGGCCAACTCCATCGTCCTTTGTTGTTCTGCGGTCCAAATTCTCATCTGTGCCATGTGGTTGGGAGTTTCTCCCCCATTTTCTGACTCTGATCTGCACTCCCAGCCTGAAGAGATTATCCTTCAATGGAACGAAGGCTCTGTCACCATGTTTTATGTTGTTCTTGGCTACATGGGCTTTCTTGCTGCAATTTGCTTCACTGTGGCTTTCCTGGCCAGGAACTTGCCTGGAGCTTTCAATGAAGCCAAGCTGATCACCTTCAGCATGCTGGTCTTCTGCAGTGTCTGGGTTTCCTTCCTCCCCACCTATCTGAGCAGTAAAGGAAAATACATGGTGGCCGTGCAGGTCTTCTCCATCTTGGCCTCCGGTGCTGGACTATTGAGCTGCATCTTCTTTCCCAAGTGCTACATTATCATCCTGAGACCAGATCTAAACACTAAGGAACATCTAATGGCAAAAGCAGGGGAATGATTGTGAAATTGTTTCTTAGACTGGTAACTTCTAATTATCCATTATTATTGGTTATATATTCTTCCTTTGGATTTGCTTGACAACTGAAGGAAATAAATATGTGAAGTTTGTTATTTAAATGAAAATTCAATCATCAAATACATTAATAATAAACAAACAAACAAATAAATAAATATTATGTTTTTAAACTATTGGTTTTCCTCCTTTTCCTCAGCACACATGTCAACCAATATTTGGCTTAAGCAACTCTTCAAGATAAGAGATATATGAGTCATTTCCTGGGCTTTATAGTGGTGTAAGCTTGGCAGGTATCTTCAAAAATTATTAGTGAGGTCTGAATCTCATCTTTCATGGTTCTTTATTAATTGGTGAGTGATGGTGAACCTTTTAGGGACCGAGTGCCCAAACTGCAACCCCAAACCCACTTATGCATCGTCGGGTGCCAGGTGGATGTGGCCCATTGGGTGGGTGTGGCTGCAGTGGTTACAGCATATTGGGTGGGACTAAAAAGTTCAATCAATGAATTCCAACTTTGCAAGATCTTTTTTCCCCACAAGAAATTGAAATTGACTGATTCATTGAACCTCTTTTTTTTTGTACACGGTGGCAGAGGTCTAAAGTGAAAAGGGTTTATAAAACCCAGCTGAAGGCCTAGGACTGGATAGATGGTGCACGTGCCCACAGAGAGGGCTCTGAGTGCTACCTCTGGCACCCATGCCATAGGTTCGACACCACTGCCCCAGGTTATGGGTTCTACTGGAAAGAAGAGAGTAAGTGAAGATGACATGATGTTGCACCTCTCTCACCGGTTTTGGTGTTCCTTCTCTTTGTCCTGAGGTGCTCTTTCTCAACCATCTTCCTTCATTTAAGCTCTAGATCAAGTTCCATCTTCTTCATGGCTTCCTCTCTCACAGCCTCCAGTTCCAGCTTCTCTGGGCTGAGGTGCTGAACAGACTTTCTGACTTCTGGTGAGGAATTTCCAGTAGCAGACATTTATTTATAGCCTGTAACTTCCTGACAGATTTGGCATATCGGTATTCAAGTGAATCGGACTGAAGAGGATTGAAGATAAAATTCATCCTGGTCTGGTTTGGGGAGTCAGGAACTCAATCGATCTAAGGCAGGTAGAAGAAGGCCATGGGTCAATTTCCGGATTGAAATGAAAATCAACTTTACTAAAGGTGTCAAAAGAAAATACTGTAAGAATAGGATAGGATAGGATAGGATAGATTGGAAGGGACCTTGGAGGTCTTCTAGTCCAGCCCCTTGCTCGAGCAGGAGAACCTATACCATTTCAGACAAGCGACTGTCTAGTCTCCTCTTTAAAACCTCCAGTGATGGAGTGCCCACAATTTCTGAAGGCAAGCTGTTCCACTGGTTGATTGTCCTCACTGTCTGGAAGTTTCTCCTTAGTTCCAGGTTGCTTTTCTCTTTGATCAGTTTCCAACCGTTGTTTTTTGCCTGCCCTCTGGTGCTTTGGAGAATAATTTGACCTCACCCCCTCTTCCTTGTAGCAGCCCCTCAAATACTGGAATGCTGCTATCATGTCTCCCCTATTTCTTCTTCTTTTTAGACTGGCCAGACCCAAGAAAGGAAGACTGGTTGAAAATCCTGCGGGGGCGGGGCCCCAAAAGAAGTGCGCACTCCACTGCGGAGCTGGCATGAAACACTCCCCCCCCCTGAAGCTTCAGCCCCGCCCCACCCCACCCTGAAAAAATCCCCCCTGCCACTTTCCCAGCTTCTCGCTCTGCTCCGAACTATCTCCTCCATCGGGCGAAGTCAAGGGAGACTCTGCCCGGAGACCGATGACGCTGCAGAAGGGAGGGTTTTCATTGGTACTTCTGCTTTTCTGAGCCCTCCCAATTACGAAGTCACAGAAAAATGCCCCCTCCCCCCATCCTCCTTACCGGGGTTTTTCTTCCCCGTTTCGCTTCCAGGGAACTGGCCCAGCGCCCCCCTCCCAGCAGCAGGGAGACCCCGGCAGAGCCCAGAGACGCCTCCAGCCCCAGAGGCGGAATCGGGGGGGGGTCTGGAGTGGGGGCGGGGGAGGCGTTTTCCTCGGACTTCAGAACTGGAAATGCCCTGAAGGAGAGGAACCAATGGGAATTCTCCCTCCTGCAGCGTCATCAGTCTCCGGGCAGAGTCCTTTGTGACTTCACCCACCGGCAGACAAAGCGAAGGCGATCCTCGGCTGCAGGGAGGGAAGTTTCCCCTCCATCCCCAGGGAGGCCGCCCTGCTCTCCGCCCCTCCCCGGCCCTGGCACCTTTTGTTGGGGGGGGTGAGATGGACGTGGGGGGGAGATTGTCTGGAGGGGGAGGAGCCGAGGGGATCAGGGCCCCGAAAAGAGAGGGGGGAGGGGGCGTTGGGTGCGAATGGGGCAGGAGCTTCCCTGGCTTGGGAGGGGCTCAAACCAGCTCCGATCCTGGAGAAAGAGGCCCGGATGAAGCCAGGAGAACCTCCAGCTCCAGCAGCTTCCCAGCCACGGAAGAAGCTCTCCGGGGGAAGCACGAATAGGGGGTCTCCGAGGGGTCCCCTCCATCTGGCAGGGCTTGGAGAGATTGAGGAGGAGGGGGG